ATTCAAATTAGTTGCTAGAGTGCCAAAACTTTTAGCAACATTGCTCATCATGCTTGAATTTCTTGCAAAATTTTGATATAGTCCAATAAAATCATTTTCGGTTCTGTATCTACCTAAATTTTTAGATATTTCACCAAAATTGTTCTCTTCGTGTATGCTGGTGAAAATTCAGTGTTTATTTACACATTAATTATTATGGGCTTCCATAATAGTTTCTGCTGGCGCGGCAGTGAAATCTTTATGGTTTCGTATCAAAGAGTTTCCCGAAATTTCTTTTTGTCTTGCCGAAAGTATTGCGATATCATCGGTGATCGCGAGAGAGAATTTTTCTTCGTAACAACCGCCCGCGCCGGTGATAAAGTTACGCTCGAACGCGACCATTCGAGCCTTCTCGCGCAGAGGAAAGCCTCGAAGAATCATTACAAACGTAGCGTAACAGCTCGCTCGAAAATCGTTTCGAACTTTAAAGTAACAGTTCGTACGTACGCTGTAAGTTCTGAAATGTAACGGTGTGTAACGCGCCGCCGCGCCGCGCCGTAGCGGCGTATAGGGTTGAAAGATATTTTCTCTTTTAGGTACCTCTCAGAGGCCTGCGCGACGAGATTCAGCGAGATATACTTTCCCGTTTCGCGTTATCCTTCCCCCTTGGCTTTCCAAGAGAAGAAGATTGCGATTACTCCGCAAGACAGCGGAATTTACGAAGTGCGTCAGGCAATTTACATGTACTTTGCAGTTCCGCCAGACTCCGCGTCTCGGCTACGGCGCGTGCAGTATATAGATACAGCCGCGGCGCGGCGCGTATAATCGCGTGTAGAAGTGATTTAACGTCGGAAAACGGCGCGGCGCGAGTGCATCCATGCAAGTACGGCTCTAACGTCGCCTAAGCGTATCCACCGGAGTGGGTTGGTTTCGAGGGAGTGAAGGAGCGCAACACATACGAGTGCATACAGCCCGATACTGCCCGCCGCGCTGTTCTAACCGCACGTTACCGCAACCAAGAAGTGCGCCAATAATGTTCCTTCTTCCACATTCTCTCTCTCTCTCTCTCTCTCTCTCTCTTTCTCGCAGGCTACTTAAGAAAGGTAAAATCTTATTTCTCCCGCTGGGAAAAGAGCGAGGCCAGCGACAGCGCCAGGAGTTTCGACCCGGAATTCGCCGGGCGAGCGCCGAGTACATCGCATTTATAGAGTTAATATATATTATACGTATCTGCGGCCGCGAGAGCCATATCGTTACGCTCCAATCAATATTTCAGATTTAATTTTGTATTAAACTTTAGATTTTATATAGTTAGTTATGATTTTATATAAAACTCAATTACACGATAAATAATTGCTTATACAGATATGCACAGGGTGCAGGGCGAAATGAGGAAAATAAAAACTTGGAATTTTCATTTAATTAATTTTAACATCTAATTTACATCAAAATGTACTACGCAATATGCCATTTATAAATTAGCTTGCCCTTTTCGTGTGCATGCATTTTTAAATTTTTCTCTCTCTTTTTCTTTGAAGTTTCTCATGATTTTTTGCAACATTTCAACTGTAATGCTATTTTTTGTGAATATTTGTTTAAAGTTTGTCAGTACTTAGAGGTTACATTCAAGATGTGACCATTTAATTGAAGGATGTTATTTTCAAAAAATATAATGGTTATCAAGCGACGCAGTCGACGTTAACGTCGCATCGCGACGTTAGTCGTACATAAAAGGGCAAGGCAATTTGTAAATGGTATATTATGTGCTACAATTTGATGTAATTGAAATTAATTAAATTAAATTCTAAGTTTTTAATTTATCCTTTTAAAGTTTTCTTTTCTTTTTTAGCCCATCTGGAAAGAATGATTTTATTAGAAAGTCTAAAAATTCTTGTTGGACGATAAAAATAATTTTATTGGAAAGTTAAAAATAATAAGCATTGCTATAAAACGTGTTGACATGCTAGCAATCAGTTTTGACTTTCCAACAAAATTATGTTGATTGTCCAATAAAAATTATTTTTAGATCAGTATCCATTCAAAATCGTTCTTTCTATGTATTTTTAAATGTATAGATTTCTCTCGCGTCCTTCTTATAAGTAATTGATGGTTCATTTACCTTTCATTTGTACGAAATTTATTCGACAAGTATTTTATCAGAGTCAAGACAGTCAGCTAATATTATTTCCAATGTTCCACGGTTTTCGCTATCATGGCAGCGATAAAAGTGCCTATAAAGACGCAGACGTGAAAGCGCGGCGACGATTTCACGTGCGGAAATTGAACGACTGCAACGTAATTTGTTTGAGCTTTAATCCGCGCGTGGAGAAGTACTGTCCGGCTGTGGAGACGAAACCCTGTTTAACTATTACCAGAAATCCGCGTGCCAAGCGATCCCGTCATAGGAGTCACGTGCGATCCGAGCTAATTGAACCAGTCCGGAGTCGGAAAAGCGTGACCCATATTAATCATTCCGGTACCGAGGGAACGTATACCGGCGAAACCTGGCCGAAGACAATTTTTCGACTTTAATATTAAGTGAGCGACTTTCATTACATACTTCCCGTGACGTTCCTGTAACGGATACGTCGTATAATAAATGAAATCACAACAAAGATTACTGGGGGATTAAAATGCAGTAGGGAAACTGTTCCGGAGTAATTTCATTACTCCTCTTAATAATAAAACAGTGGAACTTTACGGAAGTTCTCGAATGAGAATGCTACAAAAATTTTATGATTTTCCTGTCAAGGTAATGCTTTAACTTCGTTAATCCTCTGGCGTATAAATCTTTTCCGTATAATTTCAGAGAAGTGTAACTTATCCGCCTTATATCCCCCATATATCCTAGACATGAAAAATTAATAAAAACTTTCACTTTCTCCTGCAAAAATTTATGCAACTGTAGCGAATTATTCGCGGATGTAATAATTTAAAAACAAAATTAAAAATAATAAGTTAAATCAGATTGCTGTAATGAATAACAAAATAGCGATTAAATAGAGAAGCGCCAAGACGATCTTGGTGTCTAATAATATTTCTATGTAAATTTTACATACACTTTTTATATTTAATTCATTAGCTAATTTCTGTAAGAACTTTCAAAATTGGCAGTGGAGAAAGGCTGATTTTGATTTTACTGAGAATGTAAGACCGTTTTACAATTTGTATTATTTTTGTGCTGAAGGTGGAGGCGCTCAAAGTGGAGCCGAAATATTCATATTATTTATGATGTTTAACTAACTAAAGCCATTTTAAAATTTTTCAAATTTTTAAATTGATGATTTCACGTATCACTGTTTGCATCTAACTCGTACGGTCTTCATATAAATAATTTGAATTAAATACATTTTCAATTATACATATAAACAACAAATGTAAAATTAAAAAATTTTTATATAATAATTCATATTTTGATTTCTTTTTGATTAAATACAAGATAAACTTTAATATGTCAAATAATCTCCTGTGTTAAATGTTCAATCGTGGATGCTGACCTTTGGGAGATTCACTAACTGCAAGGAGTATTCGTCACTCCGGCGAAAAGGATTAAATTCGGCGGAAGGAATTTTCGATGCTATGTAGAGCGTTAAATTCTGAAGAACGAGACGTTTGACCGTAACGGTAAGTCTCGCGAGTTGCGGTCATAAATTTCGCCGGAAGGTCTTACGCGGTGGTGTTCACACGCGACCCGGATGTCACGTCATGCGTAATAAGCAGTAACTTACAGCGGAAACAACAGGAAGCGCAACCCCGTGCCGGTGTTCCGATCGGTATTTAAATGCCGAGAAGAATATCCCGCGAGAGAGGGCATCGGGAAGATCCGGTGACGGAGGACAGTAAATACTTAAAACATTCTTCACGAAACTGGGAGAGGAGGCACCGCATAAAACTCCTCGAGAGGACGAGAGTTACCTAGGGGCGATGTAAAAGCACGCTTTGCGGAACGCGCGACAACACTGCAGTTGTCCGATTTCTGCGACCCATTTCTGTCCGCGACCGACGTGAATAAAGATGTTTATTCTTCCTGGGGCTTTTGGCTGACATTTTCCCCCCTCGCGACTCTCTCTCTCTCTCTCTCTCTCCATTCTCTTTCCATCTCTCATTCCGAATTCGGAATACGACGAATTTCGCGTCGTCTGTCCTACGTGCGGTTGGCACTTGTACACACACATACACACACATATATACACACACATATATATATATATATATATACACATATATATACACCAGTAAGAACACGCTCTTCGAATCGCGAGATCGAGCGTGTGCGTCGAGCCATTTTGCCCTTTTCACCGCCCCTGCCTTGAACCATGGCCGCGATCCTTCAAGTTTCCGATTCAATAGGAAACCGAAGGATTACCTTCCGGACCGGTTTTAAAAATCCAACAGCATACGTCATGCGGACGTAAGGCGATTGCGATTGGTAAACAGTGAAGGTGATGTGAAACCCATTGTTAAATTTGTTATGTCGAATTATATTCAGTTGGATCATTTTTAATAATTCTTAATAGTCGCTGCTTTTTATATCATTAATTTAAATAAAACACTGAAGACATGAGTTAAACAATAAATGTAAATCTTTTATTCAAATATTTAATTTATTATTTACTATATATATGTTAACATAAACGTCGTTTTGAAATTAATTTTAACTACAGAAATGGCTTGATTAAAAGTTATTTTGTATTAACCCTTTTGTTTTTGTTTGGATATTTTAGTTAGTTTACTTTATTACTAATATTTTACTAAAAATTTTTTTTCCTGATATTTGATAACTTCGACTGTTAATATAAAATTTTTTTTGCGAAAATTTTTTACGTTTCATTTTTTAGATTCTTACAATTAGTCATATTAATCCAAACGACATGATCGTATAGTTTTAAACAGAACAGCAAGATTAAAATAATACATTTTGACACATTTTGACAGATGGAAACTCAAATTAATAAATGTGTCATTTAACTCAAGAAATTGGTTTAAATTTGTTCATTTAATATTTAACAGTGTGGTTTTACCTGATCTACAGAGTCGAGATTGCCCGTATTGCTGATCTCGGAAGTATCCTCTGTGATCGAATGATCGCCGATCGTGCTGTTGTCGCTCACGACGAGGCCTAGCAGGCATATCTGTAACAGAATCATCACAAGTCAGTTGCGAGATCCAGGAGCTTAGGATATATAAATACCTACTATAATTTCGTGTTCAACGAGCAGTAGTGTAGATAAGATATAGTGTTTTGGTTCTTCAACAGTAAAAACAACAATAGATAGATGTAACAATAGATTACAATAGATGGGGCGTACTGACCCTGTAGAAAATTAATGTCGCGGATTGCCGGAGAGGGTGAGAAGTTCCCCCGCGTCGTTTCAGACATCGTGGTCTCGAATAATACACGAGATCAGGAAGTCGGGCTAGCAACACGTGTTGAAAAATGACACGTGTTGAAACGTGTAGAAACGATGAATGCGTGTGTGAGTTCAAACTACTACAAACTGCTATGCATATCAGATAGTTCGTTTCATTTACTAGATCGCCGTGTATAATTGGATCATCTCATTGTCAGAGATTAAGTGGCGTCTTAAAAGTAATCGTTGAAAAGTAGTGCCGATTGTAACCCGAGTAAAGAGAGCAGCGTGTATTTTCAACGTGAAAGAGAGAAAAAGAGGGAGGGAGGGAGGGAAAGAGAGAAAGAGAGAAAGAGAGAAAAAGGTCACGTAATATAATATTACACATGGCATGATATACCTATATGTATATATCAATATATGTATATATAACGCAATATATATATTGCATAGCAATATCAAACGGTGAATACCAAACGGATATTAGTCGCCGAATCCGGACGTTGTTCGGATTGTCTGCGTACTCGTGCGGATCTCGCGTATTCGTGCGGAAGCTCTGCAGCGGCATAGAAACGCGCAGTTGCACTCTTCGCAGCCGTCTCTCTCCGTCGGGCGAGACGTCCATCCGTTTCCGTCGCGGCGAGGTAAAGTATAAAGTCTGGCCGGTCGGTCGGTCGGCCAGTCGGTCGTCGCCGCCGAGACAAAAGAGTCCGCGCAAGAAGAAGCAATTTAATTGTGGTCGGAGTTCCGCCCGAAAACGGATATCCACTTTCTCGTATTACGGTACAAGGAGGAACTTTTATAACAAGCCGCTGTGCACTCGCGCGCGTACCAACGACCGCACTTTTCCAGCCGCACGTAGCGCTCGTTCCGGCGAAATTTCCCAACCGGTGGGATTCATATTTTACGACGGGGAGAGGAGAAGGGGGTCTCCGCTGCCCCGGTGCATAATACATTTTTGTTGAAACAATCGGCTGTCTGCCGCGGAAGCAGTATTAGTCATGAGGGCTCGCAAAGCGTATAACGATTCAATCTCGTTGGGTTTTGACGACATCGAGCCACGCTTTATTAATAATCACTCGAAGGGAGATGAAACGTACAAACACAGTACCGATTGAAAGATCGAGCTTATTTGTAATAAACCTAAAGCAATCCAAATTCTTTTAATACAAATTTATAATAATTATTAATCAATTTGATATTTACAGTATTAAATTTTTCTAAGGATGGCTAACAAAATAGCAACAATGGAAAAATATTGAATCGAAATTTCCAGAATAAATAGACCATAGTAAAGTATAAAAATGACCTATCCTTCTAAAAATGCTAAATTGTACTTCTAAACTCCGTAATATACCCCATCATAAATAATCATAAATAATCTGTCATGTAAATATCATGACTTTGTCAAATATCATTATCTTTGATAACTCATGTCTTCCTTGGTGTTGCAATTTTAATAGTTATTGTATTTTTTCACATAAATTATTGAATAGTTATTGTATTTTTTTATGAAAATTTATATTAAATTAAAAAGAATTTAAACTTAATTAATCTTTAAAAAACAAAATCTTGAAAAGATCAACAAAATAAAATAATAACGTCATTGGAATGAGTCAAGCAAGAGAGGAAAGTTCATGCTGATAAATAATGATATATTGATATAAAATTTGATCTTTTTTATTTTTTCTTTTCTCAAAGCTAATATTAAATTCTATAACAATCGATAATTCTTTTAATTGTTACGGGAATATATATTCGCCACATCTTCTCTTTCTCTCTCTTTCTTTTTCTCTCTCTCTCTCTCTCTCTCTCTCTCTCTCTCTTTCTAATAACGTAACTCACAGGATCTTAATTGAAAAACTAAGAAGTCTGAATTTTTCCTGTTCTGCCTTAAGGTGGATCTGTGGTCTACTTAGATCAAAGGAGACAGGCCGTCAGGGATCCGACTACGGGCGGGGTTTCATCGGAATTGGTGCTGGGGAGGGGTGTTCCTCAGGGCTTCGTTCTTGAACCTCTTCTCTTTTTGCTCTATCTAATTAATTTCGGTCGGGTTAAAAAACTGTAAATATAGTTTTTATGCTAATGATCTTCTCATCTATATCTGCATGCTGAACCGAAAAATCTGCATAGTGCTGTTACAATATAAACGAGAATATTGGCAGAATCCTCGATTGGACTCGTGAAAATGATCTCACCGTAAATCCAAGCAAAACATCGGCCATAATTATGGGCATCGCTAGGTGTATTAACAATCTTGCTTTCGATAAATTACCTCAGATCATCGTTGGAGATTCTATATCGAGACTCAGTGGTTTATCCGGATTTTTTCCCTCTTTAAAACTCTCTCTTGGAACAGTCAAGTCTCATTAATGTCTTCTAGGGTCTTCTAGGGTACATGGTGGCCCTTTATCAGTTGAAATTATACAAACATCTTATTCCGCAGTCCCTTCGCATCAGATTAGTGACAACTCTTATTTTGCCAATATTTGATTATAGTTGTACTGTTCTGACTGATATCACTGGCGAACTCGATCTTAAATTCTACAGAGTTTTTAATGCATGTATTAGATATATTTTTCGAATTAAATATGATAAGCATATCTCAGCATATTTATTATACTAGGCTTCGTTGGCTCAAGGTGAGGGCGAGACGAATGTACTTCATGGGTTAATTTTTTTTATTCTTCAATCAAAACAGCCTGCTTCTCTGCACCAGACTTTTGAGTACAAATGCACCAAAAAATGCTCGAATTGTATGATCGAGCTCCGGGAAATATTCTCCCTTTGCCCCTATATCAAACTGAATGCTTTAAACGATCTTTCAGATCTATTGCGGCTGAGTTTTGGAATAGCATCCCACCTGACATTTGTGGCGCCTCTTTAAATATTTTCAAGCGCAAATTATATAATTTTTTACTTACTTCGCTTTGTAATAATGTACGATTTAAGCTCCTTTCTGATTTTTGTCATGAAAAATTATTGCTTTGTAATCGTTCTATTTATTTTGCGTTTGTTTTTTTCTTTTTTCGAATTTTTCGAATTTTTTAAAATTTATTTTTCCCTGTTAACTGTTCTATCTTGTATTATTATCATTTTTTCTGATTATTGCCTGTATTTTTGTTCTTTTTTTGCATTTATTTATCATTGTTAACTTGCTTTACTCTTTGTATTATTCCTTGTAATTTTTGCTTCTTTTTTTTTCTCTATGTATTCTAACTGTTTGCGCTTGAGAGGAAATTTTTTCTAGAGCGCTAAATAAATAACGATATCATCATCATCATCATCATCATTGTCTCTCTCTCTCTCTCTCTCTCTCTCTCTCTCTCTCTCTCTCGTTGTTTGAGACGCATTAAATGTCAAGAACGTCATGCTGCTCATATTTAGGATACTCGGTTCCTTCGTGATTCACACAAAGAGATTCCAGCACGACGAGGGCGCGTTGATGGATTTTACGGTTACGCCGACTTTCTCTCTCCCGGTAGTGCTTCATTAAAGCCTCCGCGCGCGAAAGGAAGGATGGCGATGGCCGGGCGTAATCAACCGATGTGTATATTTGACCGTTCGCAACACGTTCCTGCAAACGAATATATTCGCGCCGCCGCCGCGCCGCCGTGCATTCGTTTAACGTCGGCGCGTGACATACGCACGGCGCATACCCGTAAAGATCCGTCGACGATGGAGCTTAACGTCCACAGCAACGTTATTAGCGATAAATTTAGAGGCTTGAGCCGCCCTATAATTAAAGGTAAACGGTCGGCGTCTCGGGGTCCCCAGAAAATGAACTCGTACGGATTCGGGATTAACGCGAAGAGGTATATACACAACGGAGCATAATCCGTTATGGGTCCTTGTACTCGAAAACACATTTTTTTCCGGGCTATTATTAAAGTAGTTCTGATTAAACTAGGTAAATAGTGATCGAAAGTCATAAAATTATCGTAATAATACACGGAAAGAACAATTTTGCTGGATCCAGATCAGAAAATAATTTTTGTTCAATAATCAAAATAATTTTGTTGGAAAGTCAAAATGATTGCTAGAATATCAAAACGTTTTATAGCAATGTCTATCATTTTTAACTTTCCAACAAATTATTTTGATTATTGCACAAAAGTTATTTTCAGATCTGTTTTCAGCAAAATTTTTAGACCTTTCAACAAAATCGTTCTTTTTGTGTATCATTTTAATGTTAAATCAAGGATTAACCCACTCTTTGTGATTCCGTGTCTTTTTACTTTTTGATTTAAGATATATATTTATTATCTGCTAGTAATTATATGAGAAAAAATTCGCGGAATCAATTTTTCTTTTATTTTACACACCATACAAATTTTGTCATTTTCTATAAAGCTCGTTTCTTTTTGTGTCTTAATATCTTACATACAATTCAAATATAATTTTGCAGTTGACAGTAAAGTTTTTCTCTGAAGTATCGAATTTTTTTTAGCTTTTAGAATTTATTTTAAAAATAAATGAAAATAAAAAACGATAAAATCAGTAAATAATAATGCTTAATTATTTACTAAATTTTTATATACGTATAATAGAAACATGTAGTATTATTAAAAAATTATTAGTAATTCATTTTTGAACGGTTAAAAAAAATCTTAGAGACTATCAGTTTCACACTGTAACAGTTACTTATATAATAAAAAACTATATTTTAGAACTGCAATGTCATTAACTATCACTTAGGAAAATCATAATTATCGATTCCCAGCCGACCGCTTACATCGCTCCTCGGCAATCAACGTCTCTCTTGTGGTCTCGACAGCGAGAAAATTATAGTGATCAGGCATAAGGCGGTCGAACGGATTAATCACGACGATCGAATTCATGGTAATTGATATACCTAACCATTAATGTAATTTACATTTAACGGTGCTTATGCTATACTTATTCGATACATATAAATTTCAAAATATAGAAACTTACAAAAGATATTTGAGTATTTGTCTTATAATTTAAAGCACCAAAATTATTAATATAATTAATATGTTTTTTAAGTCTTAGAACATTTTTGTAAATATTATTAAGTGTAAATAAAGAAATTTTAAAATAAATTGTGATTGTACTGTCGAACCTCTACAACGAAAACTATAAGACCTCTATTCAAAAACCTCTATAAGACGAAAATTTTGTTCATCCCTTCTGCTTTACTGCTAAAAACCTCTATAAATCGAAATAAAACCTACCTTAACTCAAATTATTTGTCAGATATTTAGATGTATTATTTTCCTTCTGCAACTCGAATTTAAAGCCAGACCTTTATGGTAAAAAATCATCTCTATAAGTCTTCTATTGTCGCTATCTCTACAGTTCGAATAATTCGAAGTTGTAGCTATGTGTAATTATGAGTAATAGGCAATAGCCTGGTATTTGTTTTATGATTATATGTATTATATGTATGCAATAAATAATTCACTGTCAAATATTGAATTTTTTATCTTTAAAAGCCATTATAATTGGAAAATTATAATTCTCGTACAAAACCTCTATAAGTCAAATTTTCATATGTTAACCCTCTTTTACTCGAATTTCGATAAGTCAAACACTTTATAACTCGAAAGGCTTAGCTTCTCTCTTGAGATTCGAGTTATCGAGGTTCGACTGTAACACATATTATATATGTATACATATTAGATTGAGATTTTAAAAATTAAGGAAAACATTTAACATAAAAACGAATCAAAAAGTACCCGCGATAATTGCATATATTGTTTCTAACAAATAACGTACCTGTTAGTTGTAATTTCCCGCTCAACAATATAACTATAATATAACACATGTGTTATATATATGTGTTACATGTGTACATTGTATGCTGGGTTACAATTAGGTTCATTCATTTCTTTGCACATCTTCAAAAACTGCAAAGGTGGACATTAAATCCGAATCACGTTGTATAACGAACGCTAGCTGCACACGTAACGGCGCAAAGTAGCACGTGCGCAAGAACGCGTAGCCAATTTGTAGTGAAGCGATCGTGAACATGAGATTCTCTTCTGTCGGCGTGAACCCGGTCGAATCGGGTGTACCGGGCTTAGCGTGAAATTTATGTCCGACACGGGACGGCTAACGAGGCGTCGGCCCGATGCCATTTAATTCTTATCTGACCTCTTGATTGGCTCGCGTGCCGCGCGCGGATTAACGCCGTCGGACCACATTAATTCCAGTAATTAACTTGGCCCGGCTTATACTCGACGGAAGTTCGACGTGGGTTACCCCCTCAGGATCGAAGCCCGTAAACTAGCGTGCACACGTTGCCCTCGATAATGCGACTAAAGCGGCGTGTGTATCGAGAATACAAATTTCTTCTTAATTCTCGCTCATTTCCTTTCGGTGGAACAAATTAACCGAAACCGCCAGGATCAAACACGATAATATTATACAGCCTTGGCCGTAAGTATAAAGCAGTCCCACAAATTGACGTAAATGTTCTAACGAAAAACAAGTTAAAAACAGTTTTATTGAAAAATAATATTTTTGTAATAATTTTTATATTTTGTTTGTTTTCTTTTTATTACTGTCTTTTCCAAGAAGATGCAATAAATTAAGAATCCCAGCAAACACAAATTATAAACCACAATAGTGTAACATTTCTGCAATATAGTTATAATATTACTGTAACATTGCAGTTATAATCTGTGTTTGCTGGATTAATGCTTTATACTTATAGCCAAGACTAATAGTATTACACACAATGGTAACGCAATGATCACATATTTTATATGTCAAATAACAAATTACAAATAACAAATTAAATCCCATTCAATACATTTGGAACGAATTCGTAAAAACTTACTTAAAAAAAGATATAAAATTGATGTAACATCGATAGTAATTTTATTAATCCCAGTAATTTCATCAACTTGGTTATAATATCTTGAAAAAATTATATTCTGTGAGAAATGATAATTCGCATCTATTAATATATAAAATTTGTTCCAATTAAAAGATTGATTTGTGACGCATTTTTGCTGCATGATTATTTCTCACGTGCTTCTTGCGTCAGTAGCGCACATAGTATTCGTAAACTGTTGTGTAAACTGTTGAGCTTAACGATGCATTGTAATTTACATGCGCGCACGATTTATGATACGGCAATTAGTGCTGAATTGCGCAGCATCAGAAGATACATTTCGACATTGCATCGCAATTAAAACTGATCATTCGGCACGGCGACTTTTAATCCTGATTAATGATGAAATATCTATGAGTTCTGATTACGCGTTATTAACGCCCTCTTTTTCAATCGGAGAGTACACGTTTCAGATTTCTTCATGGTATATTTATCTCCTCCGCGCGAAGCACGAGCTCTTAATATCATCCCGAGAAAAATGGATTCACGAGTGTGTGCCCTGTCTACCTGGTTATCAAGGAATTTCTATTCTCGTCCGTGACCTTTTGGCACCGCCGCACGAAAAGAAGAGGAATGTGCCTCTGCTTACGGGAGGTGAAACATGGGATTGTACTTTACGTCACGGTGTGAATAAAATTAATTTTCAACCGAAATCGCATCCGTTGCAGCTATACAAAGGTGGTTTCAACGGCACGTGGCGACGGGCGTATCGAAAAGCTGCACTAAAAGGACCGTCGTGTTTCGAGATTAGAGCCTCCGCCTACCTAATCTGAGTACAGTGCATTTATTTATGAAGGAACGTATTAAGCGAGTAAAGCGCGCTCGAGTATATACGGGTGTCCAGTTATTCAAATAAAATCAATAAATTATATATTAAATTAAGATTTATATTTACGAGAAACGAAGACATAACTTCCAAAAAGTATTTTTACGTTCTTTTAATTTTTATAAATCATAATTAACTTAATTTTATCACACAGCTTTATTTAATTTTAAAATCCAATTCCTCTAGTAAAAGATTTGTAAATCTGATTATAATTCTTTAAAAGTAAAAATTGCAAAGTTAATAACGATTCTGTTTTAGGTAAATGTAATTTTTATTGTTAAAAATAAAATCCTTTTACATGATAAGTATAGTCTTAAAAACGGTCGAAACTAAGAATCCTAATGTCTGATAATATCTTCTGTATACATTTTATTTTTTTCAGATCTAAAATTTCTTTATTAAAATTCATGCATACATTTTTTACAATTCGCAAAAATATTATTCTTATACATTTTTTGCATAATAATAATATTTGTATCCTCCCCCGCTATTTTCAATTTTAGCTGCAAAAATCGTGCTACGTTATTAAAATCGTACTTCGTTTTAATTATAATAATGAAGCATCGTGTGAAATTATGCTCCTGTTCCGATTAAATTAACCTTTTGACGCAAACTATTAAATCCAGTTATTATGCAAGCACTATATGAACACACGCGCGCGCGCGCGCGCGCACACACACACACACACACACACACACACACGCACACACACACACACACACGCACGCACGCACGCACGCACACACACACACACACAGTACGCATTTATTCATGTTCGGCAGGCCCTGATAATTTTTTTTTCTTTAATTTTTTAAATCTTGAGAAATGTAAAAATGTTAAACTCGCGCGCGGCAGTAAAGCAAGCTTACAGCGAACAATGTTAGCTTGCAGTTACCGAGTATGGGACGTTTATTGTTGCGACTTGCATAACAACAACACTAAAAAAAAAATTCTATTTATAAAGTGAAATTTTCTCTAATCCCATATTCTAAGTGAAAACTTTTACAGAAAGAGTATTCCTCTTCCAGTAAAGTGAACTGTTCATCTAAAATCTATTAGATATTATCTAATAGATTATCTAAAATCTATTAGATTTTTCGATTTTCCTCTTGTATTAAGAGGAATATGTTTATTTCAAGCGGAATGCTCTCTTACGTACGATAAGTAACACGAAAAGTAATGTGTGTCGCTGCGTTCTGTCGTGACGATTGATTGAAGTGTTGCGCTGCATTTGCGAAAAAATAGATACAGTAAGACTGCGTTTCGTTATTCGTTGCAAATACTGAAAAATTATAGTATAAATAATGTGAATTATAAATATAAATTTCCAGTGCAAGACTTGTATTGCAAGACAAAATTATTCTAATTATTAGAATATTGTGCACAGAATATTTTTCTCTTAATTTCAGAGGATTCTTCTTGAGACCATGTACAAGAATAAAATCCTCTACAATTTAGCGGATTCCACTAATATTAAAATTTTTTTTTTGGGTGAAGAAATATGTAATCATCTACGGAACCTGTTCATGTCGGAAAACAGCGCGAGCGCGGATATGAGAAATGGATCGGGGCAGGCAGCGCCTTAATCTGCCGCGGTCGACGATATCGTACAATGTGTTCACTCACAATGCATATACATATGTATAATGTAATCGTATGAAGCCACTCGTGTGCTCGCTTGTTATAATCAAGGCTTTTATATCGTTTCGAGAATCGAAGGAAGCAGTCATTGAACGTCATGAAAAACGATCCCTTTTTATCTTCCCCTCGACTTGTATCTTTCCCCTGGACTTACTCGAGATAGACTATTGATTTAATGCACCGCACCGGGGCATATGTATTCAAAAGGTGCATTATACCGGTATTCTCGTCGAACACGCGCCGTTTCGAGAATCGTAGGATATGGTTAATAAATAGTACGCGACATTTATGGTAACGTATTAACCAAATATTTATTTTTATATACATTTTTTAATACCTTCTTATTATTTAATTATTTAGATGGATTATCCCTGTTAAAAAAATCGATACAAAGCAATACAATTGTTTTTAATCGTAGTTATGAACCGTAAAAAAATTATCATGTATAAACAATTCATTACGATAATATTATAATCATTTATTAATGATAAATTTCATTAAAACATAAAACAATAAGTTATTATAGAAATTCTATTGATATTTCAACAATTAAAACTGTTTTTATCAGATAGTGATAGAAAACAATAAGAAGTGATATTTCTTTCGGAATAGAAAAAATGGAATGATAGATACGATAGGACACGATAAAATATTTGGCAGATCCTATCGGTTCCTATTATTTTCTATCTATTTTTTTAACAGAGGTGTGTATTTTATTTATGAATTTGAAAAAAAACGTAAACTTTCATTGCTTATTACTTTTAAAAATTTATGAGAGTATTTTTAATCATTCTTAATCATTCTAATTTTTCAATTCTAACATAACTGTATTTTATATTATTTCGTTTCTTCCCAGTAAACGTAGATATATTACTATATAACATGTACATAAATATACACGTTTTACATCTATGTTACATGGCAGTTATATTTGGATTGGAGGAGATAAGAGAAGAAGATTTGCTACTCGTTTTTATAATATTATAAAAAATATTATTTTCTTATAGGTATAAATAATTTACATAAATAGATAAGCTAGATAAATCTATACATGATTTCAAAATGGAATGTAAGTCAAGAAAAATTATAAAAGCGGCAAAAATTATTACGCTCTATATATAATATGACGATTCGTTTGAACAATGGAGTATCAAGTGACACGTCTGATGAATGAGGTTTTTAAGTCAACGGATATCCGTCGCCGTGGACCAACGATCTTGAAAACCACTATAAACGCGATTTAGCGGAGAAAGATTTTTCGGGAGGAGACTTTTCGCAAGATTGTTATTTAAAAGCGGGCTCGCGCGTCAACGTCGGCTAGTTCCAAGGAGCACTTCGGGACCCTAACACGGTATATTATTCAGGAACCCCCGACAAAAGTGGCGGTTACGGGTCGATCAAACCATCCTGGAAGGAGGATGCAGTTGCCTTCTATACATGCATAATATATGCGCGTAACGTTTTCCGATGTTTCAGATAAAGTGGCTACGATAAGATATTACGTTCATTCTCCGTCGCGCATTACGAGCCTTTGATTCCATGCTACTTACTGGTTCGATATAAATTATTACCTCGTATATACGGAACGTATTGTTCAAACTCACTTTGTATGTATTTTCCGCAAGATATACTCCCGCGTTACACTTGCAAAAAGCATGTTATACACCATACATATGTATTTAACTGCAATAAGCAAAAAAACGACACTCTACTCTAAATTTCAAAGAGGGATCCCACAAATTGCCTTTTATCTACTTACACGGAAAGAACAATTTTACTGAAATATGTAAAAATTAGGTAGATACAGATCTGAAAATAAATTTTGGACCATCAAAATTATGCAGGAAACTCGAGCACGAGGAGCAATGCTGCAAAAAGTTTTGACATTCTCGCAACCAGCTCGAGTCCTACATAACTATTTTTACAATCTAATAAAATTAATTTCAGCTCTGAATTCAGCTAAATTCTTAGATACTTCAACAAAACCGTTCTTTCCGTGAATAATTTTATCAGTTATAATTGCAATAGAGATATCTAAATCTTGCGAATATCAGTTATTTTTTAGACTCCATTGATAAGTAGGTATTGATAAGCGAGACTCAGATTTGTCTAAAAATTCCGCACTGTTCACCCGAGAAGAAGGAGATAAGCAAAAGGGAGCACAAGGCCAGCGATCACGATCGAAATCGCGATATTACGTGTAAACTGCGCTCCGGGACGAAGTTCGATTTTATGGCGACGACTACGAGCGTCCATAAATCATACTTCGCTTCTGATAGTCCGGCGAAGCCATGAGTCAAGTCCTCGATAGCCTGTGGGCACGACAGTCTGTTTAGACGCTATATAATCGGAAAATCGTTCAGGACGGATCAAACGCGGCACGAACGTTTAATCGAAGAAGAGAAGATTTTAGTATGAAAGAATGACGACGGTGACGCGGCGTATTTTTTCTCCCCATCTCGTAAATAATGTTTAGAAGAACTTCAATAAATTGCGCAAAATTTGTGCCAAATTTGGATCGAAAATAATCAAAAAGTAAAGTAAAATGCATTTAATGTGAATATCGCACAAAAAGAATTGTGGTTTTGTTCTATCCAAGCAATTCAAAGCGTGACTTTATAAATAAAGTATTCTTAAAGCAATATTCTTTATTCAAAATATGTAAAATCATTCAATTTCACCCGCGAGAACATTTATAGATATTTCACTGAATTATTTATGATCGTATTTTTCGATTGCGCCGTTTTGTGCAGTATTTAGTAATTTTATTGACAGCAGCTTTTATTTTTTGGCAGTATTGTCGATATGTTTAAGAAAATCCGAGACGCGGATTTACACAATTTGTGATGCTCAGAAAATAGTAAAGATAAATATCAAAAAATACGATTTCTTACATATCAAAATATTACGTCGTTAAAATTATTTCTGTATTTCTGTAACGTTTATATTTTTGCGATAATTAACTGTATAAACGATGCTAAAAAATAGAATTTTTAATGGCGTAATATTTTGACAAAAAAAATAACAAAAATTCTTGATTTTGACAAAAAAATAACAAAAATTCTTGATTTTTTCTTCATTATTTTCTGTAGATTGAATTGTGATTTCATGTCTTAAATTTTATTATCCAATAAATATAAAATTATATTGTGATATTATCAAATAAAAACTATGAAAATATTGTTAAAAGATTCTCTTTGACAATTTACGTCAAATGAATTACATGTCTTAAACGCAATATTATAAGCTGTCCGAGCATAACTTCGATAAATGTTAATTCGAGCAAATATAAACAATTAGGGAAAGAATCGAGAGAGGAATACTATTTTTACGGACGTCCATAAAATGTCACTCTTTATTCCGGATAATTTGCTTAGTCAAGAACTCGGATATACCGAATCTCATAATTTAATATACGACGAACTACCACGACGGTGGTGGTTGTCGTGCATGCTGTAACCGCCCAACAGTTAGACGATAAAATCTCTATGGACCTCCCAGAGCTGTTTTTCTCTCGTCTACGGGCGGGGGTAAGCAAAACTTTCTCTGCAAATCTGAACACCCCACCTACTCATTAAACGAAATTGAACCTCTCTGGCGAATACGATTCGCAATTCGTCCCCGCGAAAGGACACTGTGTTCGCGCTCCGCGCTTCATATATTTAACTGGGTTTGAAGTTCGCTCTCAAAATGAAGCGCGAGCACTACAATTAATTTCGATATTCCGCCCTTAATAAATCTCTTTTGTACAATTCGGCGAATATTTTCATTAATTTCAACTTTAATTCCCATATTAGTTTCAACTTTTTAATTTATTACTACATAAGACATGCCAATCTCGCTACTCCCTTTTTTTCTAAATTTGATTTTTTCATTCAACGAAAAATATGAAATTTACTAACGTCACGTAAAACTGTAAGTGTAATCACGTCTAATCAGCTGGAATAGTCAACGTCGTCGTTCAACGCCATGGCTTAAGCATCGCGCTTGCCTTCAAACTATCGCAATCAGACTATCCGGAAATTTTCCAGTCAGGCAACCCCGGATCGACGTGAATAATGCATCGTAGAGGCTCGCTGTCAGTTCACTGTCAAACTTCACACAATTCCAGCGTCTGGATCCGCTGGAAGCAGCCATGTTCGATATGTTTAATGTTGGATCAATGTTCTCGGAATCATGCTGATGTAAAATTTATTTCGCGCACGGCGAATAAGTTGCCGTTGCACGCACCGCACGAAACCGCGGCCACGGTTCGACCGAGCTTTATGGAAAAATGTTAGAAAGAAGTAAGGAAGAGAGGGTGGGCATGACTAGTAACGACGTTCCTTCCGTAGCACGGAGGAGAAAGAGGAAACGTCTGACAACTCCGATATTGAAGTTAACGTTCACGACGACGCTCGTATCGCGCGGCTCGTATGACGGCGATGTGTTTGGCAAACCCCTCGTTTGCCAGGCGTCAAAAGAAGTGCATGTTATGCGGCGAGAAGTGTGTAGTGAAAGAGATAGAGGGAGAGAGAGAGAGAGTTGAACGAGTAATAGCGCGCGCGCGGAACGGGTATATCGAAATAAAATTCGGAAACTGGATTTCCTTGGAAAATACTGGACGCATGGAAAAAAGCATCCGGTATCAAAGCGTAATAATGAAAAATCAGTACGGAAAATCAGCCTTTGACAACCATATATTGCGGCCCGTGGAATTGGACACGTTTTATCAGCAACTTACACAAGCACGAACATTTGATGAATTCAAATAAATTCTTTGTTATCCGAGAATAAAGTGGCATAAGAATGGTATTATTTTTTATTTAATACGCCTGCTTTTTCACGTGAACAATTGAAAGAATTAAAATAATTAAATTATGCGCGATCGATATATGATTAATTTCATCTTTAATTCAAACCCGTAAAGCCATTAATAATATAATTAATACAAGTTGAGTAAATTTTGTATCAATTTTAGATTAAAAATTTGTTTCCACACGGAATGAAGAGATTTTGCTGAAGTAGCTGGACGCAGATCTAAAAATAATAATTTTGTTGGACCATCAAAATAATTATGAAAGTCAAGCTGGTTGTCAGAACGTCGAAACTTTTTGCAGCTCATTGCTCATCTTACGTAATTATTTTGACAGTTCAATAAAATTCGTTTTAGATCTGTATCTAAATTTCTGGGCACTTAAGTAACATCATTCTTTCCGTAAATAAAAGCGACGGAAAATTCTGAAATGGCTCGAAGGGCAGTCTCCACGGAAAGGGGTTGACAAACGTCTTCGCAGGATAAGATCCTATCTTTCCGACTCGCGTCCGATCTGCTCGAGATCCAACGGTATTCAACGGAAACATCAACGATGTTCGATTTTAGAATTTTTCAAGTATTCTTTCGAATTTCGAAACTATTCTTTTTAACGCGCGCGAATTACTTTTATCTCTCTCTCTCTCTCTCTCTCTCTCTCTTTGTCTTTCTTCTCGACGACGTTTCTCTTTCGCGCGTGTAGAAAAAAGAAGAAAAAACACACGGTTTTCACCGGTAAATTATTTCACCGGCTGGCTAACACCGTGTCTTCGTCGCTCCTTGCTGGTCGATTTGCTCCACCGCTCGCATTTTTCAAACCTTCAACCTGTCAGTCGGCTATTTCCGCGCAAACACGTCGGCGCGCCAGAAGGATGATCGAGAAACTTTTTTTCTTCATTCTCGCAAATATGCCCTCCGTGACCAGGAGTGAAAATGAAAAATTACAGTCAGATTCGTCAACCGAGACGTCATGCGGCTTATAAAGTTATTCTGAAGTTATTGAAATCTCCTCGATTATTGAACACATGAGAGTGATTCATTACGCTCGACTTTTTCTACGGTTGTCTTATTTATCTGTCAAAGGCTGCACGAGTGGGGAGGGAATTGCATTTCACGAAGAGAATATTTCCGCCGGTCTTCAATCATAGTCTGCGCGCGTGTTCACAATTGACCGCGGATATGAAAGAAAAGCGTTCCGTTTAATCACGTCGAATCCCCGCAAATTGAATTACCCCGTGGGTTCGAAGGAAAAAGTAAAAGTCCGCAGGGGGTAGAGGGTGCGGGGAGGGAGAAGAGGGAGACGGCGTCTGTAAGGGATACACGTGGACGCTCAGAAATCCCTCCGATGGGATCGATTCACTAATAATAGGATATAATGGAGCGAGTTCTGCGGGGGCCCGCACCCGCGCCGCGCAGGGCGAAGGGTCCGGGACGTATTTAAGGGTCGTAAATTTTTAATATTTAAAAAGCGGTCAGTGGCTATACTCGTAAATTTCACAGTATACGCTTTTCCGAGAAGGGGATGTTGCTTCTTCGATAAAAAAGAGTCCTCGCTGTCCAATTAGGCAGCTTTCTAAAGTGTGATCGTTCCCCCCCTTTGCCTCTTTTTTTACCTTTCTCTTTGCCACAACAAGGGTGAAACCCCTTTCTCCCCCTTATTTCTTCACGGCATTTATTGGCGGCTCTCTCTCTCTCTCCGTGCTTGAAGTCGGCTCGTACGACTGCGTGGGCAACGACGACGTCGCGCGGGCCATTCGTTTACAACTTCTTGGGAGGCAGGGTCGAGAGGGCGTGGTATACGTGGAAAAGAACTTCTCGCGAGTAAACCTATATAAGCGCGGGTGAAAGAGAGGACCCCGGAATTTATAACCTGCTCGTTTGTCACTTTTCATTCGAAGTCCCGAGGAGTTCGTAAGCCTCGATAACCGCGCGCGAGCGTTGCTCGCCGAAGCGTTCCTAACGCCGAACGAAATCGCAAGCCGGAAGCTCGGATCAAATTTACCGCTGACATTTTCGGTTATTTGAAGAAAATAATCCGAGGACAATCTATGGGTCTCTCATAAATAACATTTCCTGATCAGGATCAGGATAGGAAATGGTAAGATGAAAATTTCATCATTCTGAAAAGTTTCATGATCGACTTCCGCAGCGCGAGCGTACCTATACAAGTTCTAATAAACGAATCGACGGCTACAATTTATCGAGGCAGAGTAGAACGCTTATTAATAGGAACAAGCCTTTATGACACATGGAAAAGATTATTAAATATATATTATTTATAAATGTTATTCTTTATATGAAAAAACATGATTTAATCTTATGTTAACATTTATTAGATATATCATTATATATATGTACTATTTTCTTTCGTTTATATCGTTTTTCTTCTAAATTACTCACACTCAAAGAAAAAGACATGATGGTGGCAATTATATGAAAGTGACAACTATACAAGTTTTATGTGTAGAATTAATATACATAATTGAATAAGCTATTTTATAATTGCGAACTATAAAACAGTTAATATTTTTATGCATATTATATTAATGTACATAGTATTTCAACTATATACATTAATTCTTATACATATACATAACTTGTATAGTTACCTGCGAAAAAGACGAAATGATGACAACTATAAAAATGATAACTGTACAAGTTTTATATGTAGAATTAATGTACATAGTTGAATAATCTATTTTATATTTGCAATAACTATAATTATAAAACCGTTTATTTAACTGTGTGTGCATTAATTCTACACCTAAAATTTGTATAGTTGTATAGTTGTTACTTTTTGTAATTTGTATATTTGTATAGTTGTTACTTTTGTAGTTGCTATCGCTATTTTTTTCTACAACTGTACGGCAGACTAATCACCCGGTGTCCTAATCTTGAGGAACAAATCCGTCGGCGGCGAGCGATGAGAGTCACGGAACGGAGAGGAGAAAACCGATTTAAATACCGAGAGGCGTTAAAGTCGCTTAAGTCGTCAGGTGGGCCTGGCCCGGAATCATCGGGGCCGGATCCAAGAGCGTTTTGTTCGAACGCCCTTCATCAGATAAGCCGCGGCGATGAGCGCGGTATTGCTTTCAAATTGGTTTCCGATTCGAGCGCACGATAGCGACAACGACCCACGCCTCCTCCCTCTCCCCCCCCCCTTCCCGGTGTATCCCCCGTACGTCTATTCATCTACTCGACCTCGTCTCGCCGTTATTAGAACTCGCTGCGGTTGGTTTCTCGGCGCTTTTCTTTTTTCTTCTCTCTACAGGCCTCTTGGTCTGGTTTCTCTCCTTCCTTTTTTCCCGTATGGCCCGCCGGCGAACCCCCAGCGATGATTTGGTACCTCGCGCAGGTCGATTACACGCAATTGACTCTCTTCGACCTGGTTAACCGTCCGTGTAACGGACTTCGCGAATAGTGAGATATTCGCACGAACGGGTTCACCGGCCGTGCCTATGGATCTTGATCGGGGCGCGCGCGCAATAAGTATATAGCACGACGGGAAAGTCGCGCGATTCTTGACGAAGTGATCTCAATCTAATTGGGCCGAAGAGGGGGATGGGATGGGAAGGGAGGGGAGAGGAGGTTGAGGGAGAACGAGAGGCCACGGAGACGTTGAATGACGGGAAATTGAGACTAAGAGGTGATTCATTGAGGATATACAGGGTGCTCCGGCGAGGCACTCTTTCTCTCGTCCATGGACTCTTTGACCAATTAGGAGTCGATTTTTCCTTATAAAAGATCCCCCTGATGGGGACTGCACGCCCGCGCCGCGCCGTCTCCTTTTCACGTTTCAACGTTCAACATTAAATGTCCCTTTGCAGCTAAGTCTAAAATTAATATTCCGTTCAAGTCCTTGGGAAGAGGATAAGGAATACCTACTTTATGCGCCTTCGAATCTTAACTCGTAAAGTGGCTCTCGACTTTCACTATACGAAGTTTCCTTTCTTCGTGTCACCGTGCTTCTCTCGCGCGTACATCATCTCGATATAGACAACATCAACTCGTATGAACATCCGCGTTACCGCGCGCATTACCGCGTCCCGCTGTATTATTTCGCGCACCCTACCGCAATGGTGTTAAGTTATACTAATAGTTGAAATTGCATTCGAGGATATCGCCTCGGCGCGGCGCGGCGGCGCCGCGCGTTTACGAGGGATCGGGATCTGTGTGGATTGCGTTAACGTCTCCTTCGGGATATACACATGTGTACGCGCGTCGCGAGCGGTGTAGACACCCCGTGCTGTACTATTTGCGGATGCATCATACGCGAGATGGTCTACCCGTGAGCGTCATTGTGAATAATTCTCCCCGAATAAAACGACGGCATTCGTATCGCGTTTGTATCGCAATTGCGGGTACGTAGGAATGAATTGTGACTTTTCGAGCCTGCGCGCTGCGGTTATAATAACACCAGTAGTTTACAGTAAAGAAATTATTTTGAACCGGACTAGATGTTTCTCGTAGATTTTTGAATGCTGAAAATAATGCCGCAAGCCAAAAAATTCCAGCGCATCAAGTTTCTAAGATAATTGAGATTTAATGTCCAAAAAAATGGCTTTTTTCGCGATATTTGACATTTTTTGTAAAAATGGTTAACATTATTTTGAAATTCTGATCAAAAGTCTTGAATGTATTGTTCATCCCTTATATAAAATGCATTTTTTTTTTCAACAGTTTACATTTAGCTATGTTATGAATTAAGGACTTAAGTACAAGATTTTTCTAAGATAACAAATTTTCCATCTGATGAAGTTACATGTATTTATAATTTCTAGTTTGTGCTTATCATTGTTTCAGAAAAATTGTCTGAAAGAGAAATGGTCTAAAGAGAAACAAATAATGGTAGAGTAGCCGCCGATGCGCACATGTGACGCTCAATATCTCCATATTAGAAAAAGCTCCTAATTTAAATCTTTCACAACATGACTAAAACATAAGATATTGAAATAAACAAATGCATTTATAGGGGATGATCAGTACATTTATAACTTCTG